TTTTTTTTTTGCATATTCTGCAAGTTTTTTATCTAGAAATAGCAAAGTTACAAACATTATCCTAATGTCCATACAGACCTGAAGACTTCTGAAATATGTGAGCTTACATAAACTTGCAGCATAATGTGTTAAACTGGTTTAAACCAAATGTATTGCTTTCTGCTCTTCATAAGTTCCTTCCATTTCCATCCTACTGGTCATCAAATAATCTGGCATCAGATTGGATGCCTGCAAATATTTCAGTAACAGAATGCTCTCAGGAATTTTGAAAAATGTGGAACAGTTCAGAATTTAAGCCCAGCAGACATTGTACATAAGAGGCAGAAATTTTTCTGGCCTACAAGTTTAGATGCAGAGAAAACATTGCTGTGCTAGTTTTTGTTTCAGTGTAACCATGTTTTTGGAACCACAGAAAGACAACCATAGACTCTCTGATCAGCAACGGGCCATTGATCGTGGTCAGAACCCATTGCCTATCTATACTGCAGTCAATGTCAAGAACAACTATAGCACTCTGGATTTCAAAGGTAATTATGAGACTTCTGAGAGTCATTCTTCTTTATATTTGAGCTGGTAAATCCTGGGATGGTCTTTTTAGATAGTCTAAAAAAGCCCTCTCATTTAAAGACCAGAACTTCAGCTGATGTCTATTTGTGTAATGTCCTGGTGGTCAGGTAAAAGTTTGACTGTCTATGCAACAGACTCAAAAATCTTCCAAAGACTTTCTATGTTTATGTGTTTTCATTTGTACCATGCTTAGAACTCATTGCTCTTGGTCTGAAATATTAGACATAACTGCAGTAATCATTTTACCTGTTAGCTCTTTTAATTCCCATGATAGCACCATCATTTTTATCTAGAGCTAAGGGGCTGTAGTAAAACACTGTTCTCTTCTTTTCACAGAATGGGTGGAGTTCACCCCTTATGAGGTGGGATTGCAAAAATATGGGGCTTTTGTTCGTGCTGAGGATTTTGGCAGTGAGTTCTTCATGGGTCGGTTGATGAAGAAGGTCCCTGAATCCCGGATCTGCTTCTTAGAAGGTCAGCTCTGAAAAACACCTGATTTTATTTTTAAAATTATGTTATTTTTATTACTTGTGATTTATATAAACTAAGCACTAATAAAGCCCTGGTGCATGACTGACAAGGAAGTTTCACCAGAGAGGATAAATATGTCATTGCTGTATTACTCTAATAGATACTCTAATAAGTACATTGCTGTACTTACTCTAATAGATTCAGTTTACTGTAAAAAAGAAAATTCAAAGTGACAGACAAATACTTATTTTCATTTTCAAAGCTAGTCTTGAATAAAAATATAGTATATCTTCCAGTCCAACAATAAAATTCAGATCCTTGGGAATCAACAGTTCTGCTCAGGCTACTCCAGAAGGGTGAACTTCAGAGTCTCTTACCTGTCTCACAGGTAGTCTGTCATTTGTGTGCTTCCTAGAGACAGTTTATGTAAGCCTCTACACTGATTCCCTGCTGCATTGGGGCATGTTTGATCATGCCAGGTCCCCCCTGCTCCAGAGGCTATAAGATCACATTGTAGTTACATCCTTATCAATATAATTCCACCATTTGTTAAAACATATATATGGCCCCAAGTCCCATAGGACAAAAACTGGATACCAAAGTAACGTTTGAAAACCAGCAGCCACATAAAAATGACACACCATCCATTTGAAACAAACTAAGGAAAAACATAGATCTCATGAATTTCATCTTATAACAGTTTTTTAGTTCATGATGTGTGAATGTTCAGGTTAGAAATCTCTTTCCTTTTGCAGGCATATGGAGTAGTTTATTTTCATTGAATGTGTTATATATATGGAATTCATCTCATTCGTCAGAAGATTTCTGGCATAGGTGGACCCGGGACAAAATCAAGAATATAGGTAAATGATCACACTTCTTCCTTCCTTTGTATTTATTGTTAGATAGAGGTGATGTTAAATAAACCATGACACACATCTGCTATGTGAGATGTGCACAGTATATTTGGCATTTTTTGGAATGTTCCTTCAAAGGCCACATGGCCTTTCTGGCAGGAACTGGATTCAAAGTCTCATACTGGAAAGCATAATTGGACAATAAAAAATTCTCCAGTCCTGTGATCTATGTGTTCACTGAGAGCTCAACACTGATGTTGGCAGATGAGTAAAATGTTCATGAATAGTAAGACTCATCTCTAAATTATTAAAAAAGCATAAAGATTTTGCCTACATGAAGTCAGAGCTACTCTAATACAAATAAATCCAACAGTTATCCTTTTCCAAAACCTGTGTTCAGTCTGTTCCACAAGTGTGCATATGGTTGCTGCAAATTTTAGTGCTGCCTGATACTGGTCTTTTTATTTTTTAATCCAAGTGTGTAAGGATATGTGGCTGTGTAAGGAAATGGGGTTTGGCTGGTAAGAATAGCATTTTAATTTCTTTTTCGTTTGGTCACTTGTGCTCTTTGAGTCTTTTCAACCTTTCAAATAAAGAAAACACTGATTTTTATTACTTACCTTGGCACGTTGGGGGATGACCTTGCTCTGGGCAGGTAGCATTTAACAGCCTTTCCCTGTGCAGAGGAGGAACCCCTCCTGCCCCAGAAGCTGCATGAGCTGAAGACCCGTCTGTTCACCCCGCCCGGCCCCCTGGGCAGCGCCCTTCGCCACGCGCTCACCGACCGCCTCTGCCTGGCCCAGGAGCACAACTTCCTCAGGGGCCTCCAGCTGCACAACGACTACCTGGAGAACAAGCACTTCTGCAGGTGGAAAGGTAACGGGACAAAATGAACCCCCAGATTTCATATTAAACTCCATGTCCAAGTTTAGAAGCCACGTTTGGGCAGAATCACTATTAGATCGATCAGTTATGGCTCATTGGGTTGGTGTGGTGTTGAGCTCCATAGCAATGGTTTGCTGGTGCCACACACCTCTTGAGGCAGGGGCACCAGGTCCTGATGGTGGTTCTTTCTTTCTCTCTCTGAAGACACAGCTGGTGGAGTGGCACAAGAAGCCTCCTTCACAAAAGTTGATACTGAAGGCCCAAAACTGCATGTGGCTGGGGTTGGGAGAGCAGAAGAGAGGGGATATGGAAAATCTCTCTCCTCTAACCAGTTAGGGCTCCATGGTCATGGTGTAAGAGTGAAAAACAGGCTAACCAGTTTTGCTCTGTTGCATTTACAGCAAGAAAAATCTTTTCTTTTAGATACCGTGTTAGACACATTTCCCAACCAGCTGACACAATCAGAGGAATTCCTGTCTCTGGTAGACACAGGATTTTTCATCAACACAAGCGTCATGCCACTTTTAAAACCAGAGAGGAAGGTGGACGTCATCCTGCATTTAAATTACAGTGCAGGATCGCAGATACGGGTGAGAGGAATTGAAGAAGTCTCTATTTTTTTTTTTTTCAGCAGCGGTATATTAGGAAGTTTTTAATACCTAGGTGCTTTCTGTATTGCTCCTACTAAAAGTCTTAACCACAAGCATTTTTAGCTTAATGCTGCAGTATGATTATAGGATGTATGTGTTCTGTTTTTCTTGCACAATACAACTGTTCTGTGCTAAGACCTGAGGGAAAATAAAAAGCTTCTCTCCAATGATGCAGTGCTTTCCAGTGGGGGTTTCAGAGCTTCCACACAGCTAGCTTGGATTTTCCAATGCCCTCTTTGTTACTGGACTGCAAGAAATCTTAAGCCCTGATACCTTCTTCAAGTCTTACTACTGTTCTGTTCATTGATCCAGGCTCTGGACCAGACCTGCAAATACTGCTCAGAGCAAGGAATCCTTTTTCCCAGGGTGGACTTGAGTGAAGAAGACAGGAAAAACCTGAAGGAATGTTACCTCTTTGATGGTGCTGAGACTCCAGGAGCGCCAGTACTGCTATTTTTCCCACTAATTAATGATACCTTTCAAAAGTATAAAGCACCAGGTAAGTAATCAAACACACTAAAAAAAGGTTGACATCATGGCCAGCCTATTAAAGGGAGCACATTTCAACCCTTGAACTTGACTGTTTACTTTTCAACACATCAAAACTCTCTGTTGCTTAAAGTTACTTTATTTGATGCCATGGCTGTGCTGTTTCAATCCCTAAGCTAGACAACTTTGATGACTCTACATGAGCCACAGGGACAGCTCAGAACTGCAGTGTAGACCCATGCAAGTGCAATAATCACCATTTTTCTCCCCTCACCACGTGAGGCAGCTGATACCCACCTGAGGCAGGGACTGAGCTGCCAGTTTGAAAAAAAAAAAAATGACTTGTTTTAAAAACAAAATTCTTAAACCCACAAGAGCAAAGCAGATAATGAATTCTTTCTGCAGAAAGACATCTCCCTTCCCTGTTGAGTTAAAAGAGTTTGCTTGCTTAGGAGCAGAGTAGCTCCCACCTCTCAGCAGTGGTTTGTCACCCGTTCCTCCCAGGTCAGAAGCGCTCGGAGTCAGAGATGGAAGATGGCAAAGTTGATCTCTATGGCCGTTGTTCCCCTTATTCAACATACTCTGTGCAGTACACTGAGGAGGTGTATGACCGTCTGGTTCAGCTGGGAGAATACAACATCCTGAATAATGAAGAGCTCATTGTGCAGGCCTTGCGCACAGCAGTGGCACGGAAAAGGCAGAAAAAGAAATAATGGCAGGCAAAGGAGGATGCTTTTGTGTCCCTTAACCTGCTGGGAGATTGGACAGCAGGCTTCAAAGGACTCCTGCTCAACCCCAATAAACGGCCATCTCAGGTGAACAAAGAAGAAAATGAAGAGATTTTTTTTTTTCCTAAGAATTTCACTGCAGCGACTCGTTGCAATTCAGCTACAACAGTGGAGTACAGAGAATGGGCAGTCATGAAGAAGAAGGTGCTAAGATTACATTAAATATGGTGCTAGTTGACTTGAGAAACAGTTTAAAATATTTAAGTCTAACATGTTCAGGGGAGACCCCATTAAAAGCATATTTTATTAGTTTGGCTTGTGTTTTGTGTTTGCAAGGTGGTCATGAGGCAAGCAGCAGCCTGTGGGCTAGATTTGTGACTGGGACCATGGCACGTTGTAGGCAGATGTTTAAAAAAAGAAAGGTACATATTATATGGCACCCTGTGGGCACACATCACCTCCAAGGAAGGCTTTGGACAGAAGCAGAGGAGACACAGGCCATGGGTACCAGATGAACTGAGAAAGCAGAAGAGTGTTGACACATTTCTCCACTACTCAACAGCCAAAGCTCTGCTGTGTGCTTCCTCACTGCTTCTTGGCTACTCAACCCTCTTCCCACTCCTGGTGTGGGCAGTATTAATGTAGTAACTAGAAATACAAGCTGAACAGAACAACACCCTGCTGGCTTCAAAACACCTCAAAACAAGAGCAAGGATGTACAGGCCCATGAATTCGTTGGCTCCTCCTGCTCTTGCTGTTGTCTGGGTCTTGCATGAGCTCAGCACCTGCAGAATTAGGAGGTACTCACATGGGGGAGGAAGGGCTTTACATGGTCTTGTTGCAGGCAGGAAGATTTGGTGTTTTGCCGTAGGGTATCTAAAGAGAATGTCCTGCTCCAGAAGTTACTTTTCCATCTTGAGATAGCAAAAAATAATTGTAACTATAGTGTTTCTGTGAGCTTTGTGCCAGCTGTGAAGAAGAAAGAAAGATGCAGGCCTACAGAGAGCCCTGGAAGCTCTGGGAAGGCTTGCTGTAGTGAGGACATCCTTCTGCACGGCGAGCTGCTGCAGGAGGATCTGTACCTTCCTCTTAAACTGGCTCTGTACCCAACCCAGCACAGACAAGCACATACACAGCATAATCTGCTCCTTTGAGCCAAATGTGCTGTAATGAGATGTTGCCTAACTGAGGTTTCTGTCACTCTTCCCAGGAAGGAGGAGATAGGATTGCTTTGCTTACACTCGTAGCAAAGATCCTCCAGCTCCTCTTGCCTGACTCTTGCTGCCTTGTTCCCTAGGGTTAAGAGCTGTACTTGTTCATTCAAAAATAAACCAAATGACAAACCAAAAAAATAACCAAACAACAAAGAAATAGCCTCATGAGATCAAAAAAACCCATGTAAACCTGGTTCACACTGTCATAGCAATAGGAATGCACAAGAGTATTTCTTTCCAAATGCAAAAATAAGCTTATTTTAATCAGGGGCATTGCAAGTAACACATGCTCTAGGTTGAATTAATAACACAAAATACAGTAATATTTTACAGACCACATGAGTTATTTTATTTTTCTCCCTGAGCATTCACTTCTGAGCTACTAAAAGATTGTAGAAATTCCCTAATCCTTCACAGGTATCTGTTTTATTAACCAAAGTTACATTGAAAACAATAATAAAAATAGGACCATCTTATACAGCATGTTACAAATATCTCAAAATAAGTAAAAGCTACTCAATATATGCATGCATTTCTATTTTTTTTTTTATGCTATAGTACTTTTAGGAGGTTAGATTGAAAGATGAAGCTTAGGTTGTGTTGAGTTTCTCAGGGTATGTAACAGTTTAGCATTGACAATTTACAGCCTACTAAAACCAGCTGTGATTAAATTTCAATGTTAAAATTCTTCGCTCTCGTTACCCTACTTTCCACACGAGTAGATACAGGTATCCACAGTGTGCTTGCCTGTCCTGTCACTCTGAAGCTTTAAATGGCATCATCAGAGCCTAGCAGAGGGAGCAGGACACAGTGTTCCTACAGTGAGGTGCCAGCCAAGGACAAAGTGCTCTGTGCAGCTCCTATTTTAGACTCCAGGGGAGAAGGAGTGTCTGTGGCTGGGAAACACCTGCTTGGTTTCTTTAAACCAGCTCTCTGGATGGAACAGTGCTTTTATTTCTGTGCTGCTGAAAAAGTTGTAGCTTTAACAGTGTGATTTGTCCAGGGTAGATTCTCAGACAATATTTTTTGTGGATTATGGACAGCTCTCAGCTCTTCTTCACTTTGCATTTATCCTTCCAGAACGAAACTTGTAGAGCTGGTCATCTTATAGTCAGCCTTGACTGATGTTTCACGTGACCAGTTCATTTTTTTGGCACAGCCAGTGTGAACCTCTCAAGGGATGGTTCTCACAGCTACAAACTGGTCAGATGTAACTTCCTTACTGAATATCACTAGCACTTCCAGCTTCATCTACTCACACATTAGTGGGGAACTGGGTATCTCCCAAGTGGTTTAGTCCTTGCCTTTTCTTCTAGGATGCCCCCTAAATGGACAGGCTCTTTTGCATGACTGTGGCCTTTTGCAAAATCTCTCATTTTTGACATTTTCTAGGGCATGGCCTTGCTCAAGATTCAACAAGCTTGAAGGAGGCTTTTTATACCTGTCACCTGTGAAACCAAAACTGGGAGTTCAGCAAGTAGCAGCAGTAGGGTGCAGCAAATAAGCCTGGAGGGTCTTACAAGAGGTGAGGAAGGCCTTCGAAGCTCTTGGAGGCTAAAGCTAAGCCTGGAGGGATATTTAGGTTGTTTGCATGTGCATAATGATAAGCCTTCAGCAAATAGCTGAGGGAGTTTTCTGAGGCAGGGCTTTCCCACTGTTGCTTGCTAAATTCTTGCTTGCACTTCTTTAATTAATCCGTTGTATAAAACTTTACAGAGCTCTTGAATTATTTAATTCTGGTTAGCTGTTAGGCTAACCAGCAAAGTAAAACAGCAAATGCAGTTTTGTGTTTGTACTAGAGAATCCATCTTATCTCTTCTCATAGGCTTAGAAAAGCCAGAAGTGCCATCAGATGATGTCATTAGATCTGTCAGATGTTACACTTGCTACCTGCCCTGCAGTTACCTAAATGTGAATCCTGATCACCTGTGGCTGAGCAAAGTACAGGCTGAAATAAAATGACCCCTCTTCTTCTAAAGAGAAAAGGAATGGTGAAGTCACATTTCATGGAAGTATGTTTCAGTGGGTGATCATCTTCCAGCAATAAATCATGCACCTTGTTTCCAGCCTCATTTAATTTGACCAGAGCCCAGACATTACTAGTTCTTGCTAAAACTTTTCCTAGTAACTCAGAAGCCATTGCATAACCTGTTTCTTCTTTTGGTCTGGTTTTATAAAATATACAAAGGTTACATCACAATCTTCTTTTAGTCAAACCAGTAGATTCAGATGTTCAAGTTCTCATTATATAAAAAAACCAAACACCTTTATTTGCTGTATCCAACTGTATCTCTGTTCTTCCACTCCCTTCATCTCTTCATTGTTCCTTTACCAAGTGCAGCCTCCAGTACCCTTTCCACTATTGCTATATGCTAAGAACTTTGTTTTGTTATTCTTATCTTCTTAAATTTAAATGACTTCTCAGTTTCTACATGCAGAATCCAGTTGCCATTTGCCAGTAGAAACCTCTGCTGAGTTGTTTGTTTTCCACAAGCTGGTGAGTTAGTGTTTTCCACACTACAGTCTTCCCTTTCGTAAGGGGGAGTAAATCACAACACACGTTGTCACTCCTTTAATCATTACTTTACACTTCAGTGTGTCAGAATTAACTGCTGGTTCATCAGGCCAGTTTATCAAGCAGGTCAGATTGTTCTGTACCATTGCCCTGTCCTCAGCATTACTCAGGACTCCATCAATTGTCTACTGTAAATCTGGCCAGTCAGGATATTTATTTCCAAAGCACTCATGAAAATGGTGACTAGAATTAGAGACAGGTAAGCTTTTTAAAGCTCCTCAGAAGAAAACTTTTTTTCAGTGATGTTCCTCACTGAGGACTAATTCTCAAATTGGTTAGCAAACATTTTACATCTTATTAACAAACACTTTCTCCCAATTTTTCATTACAAAATCTTACTATTTTTTGCACGATAGACTATAAGTAAAAAAGAAACCCTACATTTGCAGGATAGAACAAAATCAGTTTCTTCTTATTAAAAGTTCCACTGTTTTGTATGGATTGGCTTCCAGGAGGTAGCTTAGGGCTTCTGAAAACTGCTCGTCAACTTCCAGGGAACCTCTGGCTCATGTTAACCCCAGAAGGATTTCTTTTCCTTGCAGTCACCTCACATCACCATTTTGCTGTGCCATGCACCTTACTGGTAGAATGCCCTGTGAGTGCTTTGTCATCCTTTACATCTTTAATCCACTCTGGCCACTGAAAGACAGTGGCAGTACCACGGCTGGCCAGAAAAATGCACCCATAGGAAGAGCTGCTTCCAGTTTTGGCAGTACACTGACGTCACCTCTAGTACATACCTAAGAAGGATATCAAAGAAGAATTTCTGTGCATAATCTAAACATAAGTAAGACTTTCACAAGGCTGAATAGCAATTGAGATAAAGAAATAACAATAATAAATAATTATATCTACCTTTTCCAACTTCCAACATCCAACATCCTTCCTGTCCTTTCTTCCTGTCCTTTTATTTCCCAGCTATATAGTTCTTAAGCTCTTTACTGAACCCTATGGGTAGGCATCCAGTTCATATGCCAGCCAGGTAGGTCCCTTATTTCTGCCTTCATGGAAAGGGCATAATTTTTACTCCAAATCTCCCTGGGTGCTTTTATATATATATATATATACACACATACAGAAATACATACGGAATTTGGGTGGAACCATCTGCTGTCCCAACTGTAAATTGTACTCACTAATGACTGTCCTAAGGCTAACTAATTACATGTCATCAATCCTTTTTTGGGAAAAACACT